GTTCTTGATCAAAGAATTGCCACATGACTTATTTTTAATGTAGTGGATCGGCCTAATTCTTCCCATTTGAATGTCTAATTTGTTTTTGACCTGAACAGGATACCAAGGACAACTAAACTACAGGCACAGCGACGGTTCATACAGCACATTTGGTTACGATGAATCGAACACGTGGTGAGTTTCATTCGGTTTTTCTAGTGTTGCGTATCATTTGCTCAGTTTCTCATGAAGTTTCCTTTGACCAGGTTGACTTCATTTGTCCTGAGATCTTTTGGCCTAGCAAGGAACTTCATCTTCATTGATCCGAATGTCCTCCAGAGTGCAAAGGATTGGCTGATCAGCAAGCAGGGCCCAGATGGCTATTTTATGCAACCGGGAAATCTGTACCACAATGATATGAAGGCGTCATGTTTTCTTTCAAATGAGTCATGACCAATAGACACTAGGTGGGACCATTCTTCTAAATAGTATATTGGCGTATTTTAGGGTGGAGTTGGTGATAATGTGACCATGACCGCCTACATCACTGCATCACTGTTTGAAATGGACGTCCTCGTTATGGTAATAAGTCACCTGTAGCTATACATGACTTTTTTTTTTATTTTATTTTTTTTATAAAAGTGTAGTCTTTCCATTTTGCCATTCAGGATCCCATCATTACCAATGCTCTGTCTTGCTTGAGGCCTGTTGTTGGGAACCTGGGAAACACTTACACCACGGCTCTGCTTGCCTACACCTTCAGTCTTGCTGGAGAGACCAGCACTGAAGCACAGCTTTTAACAACCTTGAACAACCGTGCAATTTCTGAAGGTGAGATTCCCCCTCATTTGATGTTGTTCAGGTTCTTTGGCATCAACTTTCCGTCTCGTCTTAAGGCACTAAGCTCCACTGGTCTCAGACTACATCTGGTGACACTCTGGCGGTGGAGATCAGCTCCTATGTGCTGCTGGCGGTTCTCTCTGTACAGCCTCTCACGACTGCTAATCTGGGCTATGCTAACCGCATTGTAAACTGGCTCGTGGCACAGCAGAATCCTTATGGAAGCTTCTCCTCCACCCAGGTGACTCTGACCACCAAACATGAGCAGTAACCTCCATATCGGAGTGGAGGTTTTAATCTGGTGGTTGTTTTATAGGACACTGGTGGCTCTTCATGCTCTGTCAGTGTACGCCACTAAGGTGTTCCGCTTGGCTGGTTCCAGCACTGTTACCGTACAGTCCTCAGTGGTAGGAGGAGACTCTTATAGCTTCGACGTGAATCGGGACAACAGGCTGCTGTATCAGGAGAAGCCGCTGAAGAATGTTCCTGGCAGATATGGTGTTAGAGCAACAGGATCCACCTGTGTGTCTGTGCAGGTCTGCATCTTCACCTCCTATTTCTGCTTCTGTTGTGCTTATCCTAATTCTCCTTGTTTTGCTTTGCAATCATAGGCTGCATGTTTCTACAACATCCCGGCACCCATTAAAGTAGCCAGGACACTGAGCATCGAAGTTAAGGTGACTGGAGACTGTGGACCACTTGGAGCCAATCTCATGTTGAACTTCACGGTGAAGTAAGAATAACTTTTGTCTTTGTCTTGAAACCAGCTCATGTTTGACTTTTTTTTATTTTTTTTATTTTTTTTTTAAAAGGGATGCTACTTCCTGTTGACTAAAACCCTTCATTCCTCTACATTTAGATACAATGGAGCAAAAGCAAGTACTAACATGGTTCTAGTGGACATTAAGCTGCTGTCAGGCTTCACAGCAGATACGTCACTGGTTCGTATGTCTTAAGATTTGGAAAATCCCAAGATGATTGAGGCTCCTTCAGATGTAAACTATGATCTTTTCCCCTCAGCTTGGATCTCCAGCCCAATCATTTGCCACGCTAGTGGAACGGGTTGATGCTGGAGATGATCATGTCCTAGTGTATCTGAAAGAGGTGAGACCGTATATTCACTAGCTGCCATATTCCTGTGTGCTGTATGTGCTACTGTTAATCCCTTCTGTCTTGCAGATTCCCAATGGCGTCCCCATGACCTACAAGCTGCAACTGCAACAGATTCTTGTGGTGAAAAATCTCAAGCCAGCGGTCGTCAGAGTCTGACTACTATCAGCCAAGTATTTTTTTTTTTTTTTTTCCCATCACTTTTTGATCTGTCTGAATTCCCTGTACAATGTAATATTATTTCCTGTTCCTTTTTTCAGGTGATTCATTTGAGGCCACATACATGTCCCCCTGTACATGATTGTGTTTCCGGACTCTGTACCGAAAACAAGAATAAAACCACTTGTATAATAATTTGTTGTGTTTATTTCTATTTATTTTAAATCCTGATAAAAGTGAACCAGGAAGTCTCAAACCTTTACGGGCCATGTACCTTTTAGTTTTTTTTTTTTTTTTAAATCTGAAATGTTAACTGCATGTTTTTTCATTTGTTCAAACAAATGCAAAATTAAGATTTTGGCTTCATTTTACTTTTGGGGACTGAAAACGAATCCACTTGAATAGTCTATTTCTACATGTGGGTGGGAATGAAACGCTTCTCTCTGCTGATTGGTCAACCAAACATTACAAAGTCCTAAAAAATAAAAACGCATGCACACGCATAATCCTCTTCTACAGATTCTTAGCATGTTTTATTTCTACTATTTCTTTCTCAATCAAACAGCCAGATTAACGAATGGCTTGACACAAACCATACTGAGGCAGACCCTTTTGGTCCTTTGGCACGCTGCCTGTTTTATTATAGTATCCACCTATCAAAATCTGTTTGGCAAAGCTGCGTGACGCACTGCAGTGCGGGGAGAATGTAGCCTATTGTGGGGAAGCGTAGAACACTATCAAGTTGTGAACATTTAGTCATAACTTTTGTTTTAGACCATACGATGCGTTTTGGACTATGGAGGAACTTATGACCGATGAAAATAAATTTGTGTAATTTACAGCACATCTATTTTGAGTTTTATTCATGGGACTGTATATGTCCTGCTGCATTGCAGCAGTAACCAGGCATATACTCAAAGTTTTGTGGATAAAGCAATGGCCCCAGAAATAGTGTGGTTTCAGGCCCTCCTGCCATATATATCTGTGAAGGTGAATTTCCCTATTAACCAGGGGGAAAAGGTGTGGAATGTGAACGTCATTCTGACTAATTGCTCACTGCGGTGGGATTACACAGGCTGCCAAGAATTATGGGAACACAGTGGGAAAAAGAAAGCTGCTTGAATAGCAACCCAGCAACATGCAAAGTAAGTTTTTTTTTTTTTTTTTTTTTCCTCACTGGCATTGTCCCAGAGTGGTTGTTTCACTATTTGACTTTAGCGAAATGCGAATTTGACGTCATGATTTTGAAGGTGAACTCGTTTGAGTTATAAGAACATATCCAAACCCTGAAATAACACTTCAAACAATAAGCCAGTGTCATCAGTGTCATAAGGGGCAACTGTTTTTTATTTATTTATTATTATTTTTTACCTTGATCAGTGTCAGAAGTTTAAATTTTCCCATAAGGGGCACCTGATTTTCAGGGTTTTTTTTTTTTTTTACGTCATCTTTAATGTTAAATTCTTACATCAAATTCAAATAATGACAAAAGGCTGTTACCAATTAAATCCGTATTCTATGATGCTGATCCCTCTATGAAATGCACCCCACGCCCAGTAATTGTGACCATTTAACGTTACAGAAAAATAATAAATGATCAATATACAAAATGAATTAAAGTCAACTCTATATTCATATTCAATGTTATTATATGAATATTAATTTGTGTAAAAATGTGTTCGAGTAATGTATTAGCCTCTAATTATAAGAGACATGGGTCTGTTTTAAATCCAAGTTAATATTTGAGCTTTGATTTTAGTTAATCTATTATTTGGTGCTGGATTTATTCGCTCTGTTATTGTGCAGTTAATATTCCGCTCTTAAAAGTGTTTTTCATTCTGTAACTAGTAGTAAAGAAGTTCACGTGTTTCTTGAACTGAGGTGCTACAGCTATATATGGCTTTTTAAAGAGCGGCAAAATGAGATTCAGTTGTATAATAAAATTGAAACTATTTGAAAGCTGAGACAGTTTCATATTTAATTTGGTGAAGCACAAAGCTTATTGTGATTATTGAATGGCTGGCATTACAAATGTGTTTTATATGTAGTGAAATTTTGTTCACATCAACAGATAACAGCACAGACTAAAATAATGATTTTCAAGAATCCATATTTAAAATAGAAATATTGGTATTGTCATCCCAGCCCTGTAGTTCACAATGCTGACATGAGGTGAAGTCATTAAAGAGTGACTGGGAAATTATTATTTTTAATAGTTAAAACAAAATTGATTATATAAAACATACGTTGTAAAAGTCCTAGTTAAAGAGAGTTAAACACTACAAGATTCATGTCTTTCACAAATGACATAAAACTACATGACACATACATAAAAATATACATGCTTGTAAGTTTTGTTCATTTTAAGTTCCTCACAAACACTGCAGTATGTTTAAAGTTGTGAACAAAAACATACTGAATTTTGATGTAAAATATTTAAGTCCATGTTTGATAAAATATGCAGACTTTGGCTTAAAGCAGGGGTGTCCAAACTCGGTCCTGGAGGGCCGGTGTCCTGCAGAGTTTAGCTCCAACTTGCCTCAACACACCTGCCTTCAAGTTTCTAGTATGCCTAGTAAGAGCTTGATTAGCTGGTTCAGGTGTGTTTAATTGGGGTTGGAGCTAAACTCTTCAGGACACCGGCCCTCCAGGACCGAGTTTGGGCACCCCTGGCTTAAAGTATCATTCTGTGTTAAGCATGAACAGTCAAAATGGGCTCCCACCTTGGAGATTAATAAATTAAATTAATCCTAATCAATCCCTCTGTATAATTAAGAGTAGGGGTGTCCAAACCGGCAGAGTTCTGCTCCAACCCTAATTATGCACACCTGAACCAGTTAATCAGTGTTTTCAGACTTTCTAGAAGCTTCAAGGCAAGTGTGTTGGAGCTTGTTCGAGCTAAGATCTGCAAGACAGCCCTTCAGGAGCAGGACTGGGCACCTGTGATTAAAAATGTTTTAATTTAGCCAACATCAGTGCTGATTGAGGCTGATTAAGAAAAGCAGAAGAACAGCAAACAGTGGTAGACTGTAGCTATAGTTCAGCAGGGTTCAGGGTCGTGATGGAGATTTGTGTTTGGAAAGGGCTCATTTTAGCCCTTTACTTATTTGCTGTTGATGGACAGGTATTAGGGCTGTTTGCTGTTGATGGACCAAGATTGGGGCCATTTGATGTTGATGGACAGACATTAGGGCCGTTTGCTGTTGAAGAACCAAAGTTAGGACCATTTGCTGTTGAAGAACCAAAGTTAGGGCCGTTTGCGGATGTAGAACCAAAATTAGGGCCGTTTGCTGTTGAAGAACCAAAATTAGGGCCGTTTGCTGATGAAGAACCAAAATTAGGGCCGTTTGCTGTTGAAGGACCAAGATTAGGGCCGTTTGCTGTTGATGGACAGACATTAGGGCCATTTGCTGTTGAAGAACCAAAATTATGGCAGTTTGCTGTTGATGGACAGACATTAGGGCTGTTTGCTGTTGGACCAAGATTGGGGAAGTTTGCTGTTGATGGACAGACATTAGGGCCGGTTGCGGTTGAAGAACCAAAATTAGGGCCGTTTGCGGTTGAAGAACCAAAATTAGGGCCGTCTGCTGTTGAAGAACCAAAATTTGGGCCGTCTGCTGTTGAAGAACCAAAATTAGGGCCGTTTGCAGTTGATGGACCGACATTAGGGCCGTTTGCTGTCGCAGAACCAAAATCAGGGCCATTTGCTGTCGAAGAACCAAAATCAGTGCTGTCTGCTGTCGAAGGACCAAGATCAGGGCCGTTTGCAGTTGATGGACCAAGATCAGGGCCGTAAGTACCATAAATTAGCCTATACCAGTGGTTCTCAAACCTGTCCTGGAGTACCCCCAGCCCTGCACATTTTGTATGTCTCCCTCATCTATCACACCTGATTCCACTCATCAGCTCATTAGGCTGCAAGACCTGAATTGGGTTTGTCCGATATAGAGAGACATACAAAAGGTGCAGTGCTGGCGGTACTTCATGGAGAGGTTTGAGAACCACTGGCCTATACTATAAGTGAATAAAAGTGCCCTGTTGTGTCTGTTCTTATGTTCATACTCTTGTCTATGGCAACCACTTTCTGTGAATGCGCACCAACACAAGTAGGCCTACATGTTCTGAGCTGATTCCTTATGCTTTTTTAAATGAAACCTCTATATATTTCCACAGGCTCTTCTTGGTGACAATTCCTGCAGTGATTGAGTCCGGCTCTGATGCAAAATTGTGTGCAATTCTTCTGAAACCCAATGAGAGCATCACCATGACCATTTCTCTGCTTGATCACAAAAACATGACCACTCCACTTGTGCAGCAGAGATCTGCTTCTGCAGCATTTCACCGCTGCTTTAGTTTCCAGGTCTGCACCTTATCATGCTACACTTGGGCCTTTTGTCTAGTTTGATGTACGTTAATGTTTATCTGCAGGCTCCTCGAGTTGATGTGGAGTCCGTGTGGAAACTGAAGGTGGTAGTTAAAGGGAGGCTCTTCAAAATGACAGAAGAGAGGAAAGTCCTGTTCAGAAGTTACCTGCCTTTGACCTTCATCCAAACAGACAAACCCATCTACAATCCTGGACAAACTGGTGAGCTAAAAATGACCCTTGAATGAATATTAGGATTACAGAAAGTCTGTTGTGCTACAAGTTCAAATTCAAGTGCCCGGTATAATGAGTGTTCATTGACTTCTCATTTTTGCAGTTAATTTCAGAGTTGTTACAATGAATGCCAAATTTGTGCCTCTTTATCAAATGGTAAGGCCTTATCTCTTTGACATTGAGCACTCTTGCTACAAACAGATTGCAAAATATTTCAGGTCATTTTTAGATGCACACTTTAGTCCATCGCAATTGTGCATTTCCCCCCAAAATGATAGCTGTATATTAACGCGTTAGTGTCTAATATTGCTGTGTTTGTGTCTTACAGTACAGTCTAGTGGTTGTAGAGGTGAGAATTCTCTCCAGTGCAAGCATTTTTATACATATGGTTCTGCTTTATTTTGGGATGTTCTCTTATTACTTTTTTTATTTTATTTTATTTATTTATTTATTTTCAGTTAGAATTGCAATCACATTTTCAAACCGGTTAATTGTTTTACTAGGACAATCATAATAACCGGATTGGTCAGTGGACAAACGTTTCCTCAACGGGGTGGATATTGCAGCTTTCTCACCAGTTAAACTCTGAGGCTCAGGTTGGGATGTACACACTGAGGGCTTTTATTAGTGACCGAATGATCTCCCAGATTTTTGAGGTGAAAAAATATGGTAAGTTCATGTACAATGTGCAACAGTAAAACAGCAGATCTGAGGTCTTCATTTCAAGCATTTTATCTTTTAGTTTTACCCAAGTTTGATGCCATTGTAAACGCACCACAGATATATAGTGTTGGTGATCCGGGACTGAAAATTGAAGTTTGTGGAAAGTGAGTGACGTTTATTTTCTTACTGCCACGTTTCTTGTTTTGTGTTTGGTCAGTTCTTGATCTCCTTCCTTACATTTCCCAGATACACATATGGGCAGCCTGTACCTGGTCAGGCAATGGTGGAAGTGTGCCGTGAGCCGTTTCCATTTGATCTAGTTCCTAAGGTGACTCGTCTGTGCCTGAATAAAACTGCTGAGGTATGTGACTACTGTTTTACAGGTTTTTTTTCTCCTTCTGCATGTGGTTGACTTCATTATGACTTCAATAATCTGTTCCGCTACCAGATGAATAGTGTGGGCTGTGCCTCCCTTACCTTCCGTACATCAGGGTTTTTCAACTCCAGTTTTGAGAATAATCTGCAACATTCATTTCTTGTTAATGTGAATGTCACTGAGGAGGGAACAGGTGAGACACTGGCTGATCCGAACCAATGGCATGTGTTTGGGGAAAGTTGATGTTTATTTGGTGTGCTTGGGTATGTTTCATTTCCCAGACATTGTCATGTCAAAATCCACAACTGTGTCCATTACGTTTGAAGTTGGCAACGTCACATTTGTGGAGCTCCCAAAGTTTTTTGAATCTGGATCAGCAATTAACGGAAAGGCAAGTTCATCACTTGTTACAGAAGCCTTCACGTTGGTCATCTTTCTTAATTTTTCTCTTTCCCAACAGATCTCGGTGTCTGCTTTCGATGGGACCCCTTTGGAGAGCAAAGTGATCTATGTCTTGGATGGTTCCAGCTGGCCCAACAAACTGCTGCTGAATCTGACTACAAACCATAATGGATTGGCCACATTCTCCCTCAACACAGCTGATCTCCCTAAATCTGATCTGAATCTGGTGGTATGCTTTGTATTATTATTTCTTTTAAATATAGACTTGTCACAGGAAACCAATTCCGCTGATTGTTCCCCAGGCAAGTGCAACTCCAGAAATTTTTTATGGTCACAAATCACCATACTTCACTACAGATACAAGAATAGTTGCGCTTCTCCAACCTGCTACTCCCTACAGTCTGCAGTTTAGTGAACTGACTATAGTGAAGCTTGATCAGCCATTGAAATGTGGTGCTGTGTTTCCAGTTGACATCCAGTATTCTTTTGTTGGAGAAACTGGCAACTGCAACACTGATATCATATATATGGTAAGTGGACAATGGGTTTTGCAGTGATCTTTGCTGTTTTGTTTGTTGTGCTGGTCTGTTTGTCTGGCACTTTTTATGTAATCTTCCTGTCTTGTCAGGTCTTGTCCAAAGGAGTTATTATCCTTAATGGATATCAGAGGGTTCAATCACGCCCTTCAAGTACTGTCACTAGTGGCACAGTGTCGTTCCAGCTGTCTGTCAGTGTTGATATGGCTCCAGTAGTGCAGATTCTGGCCTTCTGCATTCTGCCCAGTGAGAATGTAGTTGCTGCTAGTGCATCCTTTGACACAGAAATGTGTTTCCAAAACCAGGTATGATGTGCACTAGCATCTCGTTTTCCTTGATATGGGAAGCGGAGACGTGTCCTTCAGCTTGAGCTGGTTCTTGTTCCAGGTGTCTCTGCAGTTTTCTCCAGCTACTGCTGTTCCTGGCGAGGAAAACACTTTGACTGTCTCTGCTCAAGCAGGATCCCTGTGTGGCCTCAGTGCTGTAGATCAGAGTGTCCTGATCATGGAGCCAGGAAGACGCCTGAGTGCTGAAGCGGTATCCATGTGCCACTGATCAGATTTGTTTTTTGCAGTTATATTAAACCATCTGGATTTGAAAACATTGCTGACATACTACCTATTTTATTTGTGGGCTTTTAAGTTGTAATCCTTTTATAAGACCCTTTGTCCATCTTAATGTTTGGTGTGTTCTTTTAACTAGACTAAGTCATGGTGATGACTTATTAAAAGGGGTGGGGAGAAGCCACAGGTGGAGGTCTTTTTTATTATTATTTTTTTAAATCTCTTCCCCCCCCCCCCCCCCC